TATGTAAGTTATCCCTATTACGCATACAACGAAGCAGTCCACTCGTAATCCATGGCTTTCTTATGACTTTACGGTTAGAGACTCTTACCGGGGTTGAGCTATCTTTTATGGCCTTAGATAGGTATTCCACCAGCATATTGGCTGCTAAGTCGGCTGATTCACAGTTAAGGATGGAAGAAAAGTTAATGTTCAATATGGTTTTGTCTAAGTGTTCAAAATTAAGTCGTTCGACTATCTTATGAGCAGAATATAATTTGTTATTTAAGTTAAGGCTGATAGCTACACTGTCATGATCGGTAACAGATGATTCAAGTATAACACATGTTGCTTTCAATCTGGATTTTAATATAATGTGGTCAAGACATGTACGTCCATGTGTAGGTTCAGTGTGACCCGGTAGCATACCATGGCTGGCCAAGATGTTTAAGTATTCATTGCGATACTTATCTTTACTGTTTGGGCGTATATCAATATTGATATCACCACAAAGGATAATATTCTTGAAGTTAGATAAGTTTGTGAGGACCAAATTTAATGAATTTAAAAAGTTATTCAAGTTAGTATTACCGGGGGGTCTATATATTCCTAAAATACAAGTTTCTAAATTTAATTTTAATAAAATACAGTTTGCATCTGCTATTAAGGGTTCTTCGATAGTTCCTTTCAAACATGGTTTGTGATATATCACCACTCCTTCATTTTGGGTTTTATGACTCGTAGAGACATTATATGTATAATTTTCTAGATCAGGTATATACTTTGCAGTTGCGAGCCAGCATTCGGTCAGTATAATAACATCCCAAATAACATTTAATCTTTCTAATAGAGTTGTGAAGTTGGCCATATTACAATTAATACTGCGAACATTTTGTGTAATAACATTTAAGGTGCGGTTACTAGTATCTATTTTGTTTTTTAAATCATTCACCCCACAGGTGATCACTCGAGCTATTGAGAAGGCGTCCAGATCCCGACCCATAGATTCAATATTTTGCATACTTTAGCTTGAAGTAATTATTATCGCAATTTGGTATGTCACGCTAAAAACGTGACAGTTAAAAAGATTTATTGCATATGAATCTGGATCTGGGGTCTCTGCATTTCGAAGTAGTGTAAAAATGTGTGTATAAATGTATGTAAATATATTAATCGTATAAAAGATTGTGTAAAAGTAATTTGAATTAAGTATATAAACAACTGTGAAAATGTGTGTATAAATGTATGTAAATATATTAATCGTATAAAAATTTTTGTAAAAATAGTTTCGATTTAGTGTATAAACAATTGTGAATATAATGCTCAAAATATATGTATACATTAAAATGATGGTTTGTATAGAAATATGTTTATAAAAATATAACAAACATGTAGATAAAGTTTTGTTAACTATGGCACTGCATTTTATCGATAAACATGCGTAAAAAGAACAAAAATAATGTTTAACATACCCAAGCAAAAATAAAATATATCTAGTTGAAAAAAACGGATTAATAAAGTAACTAAAATAATACAAAGATAAAAACATAAAAAGGAATTCACTTTAAATAGTCACAAAGCAAGCTTATGTAAGTCAGCTTCTTCACGGACACGCACAGCAGGTGAGTTTATCTCCTTCTTTACATACACCTTCCCAAATGAAGTCCAGGCGGCAGCTAATATTCTATTTCGCGCATAACCTCTTGCTATATAGAACAGATGTTTCGATTTGCTTGAAAGGTATTCAGATATATATATAGGATGTGGTTCACCCGGCAGTTTGATATGTTGCGTATTCAATAAAGGTGCCTTAATCTCACGATTAGTTTTATTAAATAATTTTAATTGAGATAATAGGCTTTGTTTGCGGCTGACAGTGGTAAAATCGACAATTAAATTCTCTGACTTGGTGCGATATATATCTTTAAATTCAATTTCGCGAATAGAATTTTCGATACCCAGGGACGAACTGATATTATTTATAATATTCATGAGAATATCCTTGGATTCATCCTTTTGTTTAGGTATGTTACGGATCTCCAATTTGGTACAGTGGGAGTTCGATTCAAGAATATCAATTTTATTTTCAAGCACAGTTATTCGATTTTTATAATCAGCATTGTCCTGTTCTAGCTCTTTAATTTTTAATAATAATTGCTCATGATTATTGTTCATGATCTCGACTGATTTTTGTATATCTTTGTTCTGGGATAATATAGCAAGAAGAGTATTGTTCAATCCTTCAAACTTACTATCTTGTTGACATTTAATCTCGGCAAACATATTTTTAATTTCAGTGATATTTGATGATGACATATCTGAAAACTGTTCATATGTACGCTTATGCCGCTTCGTGGTACTGGGATATGTTTCCTCCAAAGTAGAATTATTAGATATATTTAACGCAGAATCCGAACTATAGTGAGTAATATTAGACTTGGATAACTGAGAAATCGGCTCGGGGCCCGTCGGCGAACGTTGCAGCGGCATGAGTATGGATTTGTAGGCCTAAATGACCCGTCGGCTATCGCTCAGAATCAGAGGGTGGGGCCTGCGTGGACGCACCTCCGGTGATAAGAGTTTATGTATGTATAATATACATATGTATGTGGGACTATATGTATTGTTCATCTTTGTATATGTATAGAATTGTTATCAATAATAGCTTCTCCATACCAAAAAAAAAAAAATTATAGAAATAGTTATGTACACAAAGTGGAACCTATTTTTGTTATCACACTGTATAATAATAATAATTTATGTGTATTGCTTACTTTATTTCGTAGAGAATTTTTCAAGTTATGAAACTCTGTTATTGGCTAGATTAGATATATAAGTGAAAACAAAATTATTGTAAAAAAAAAGCTGTTGAGTTTCTTAATAAATAAAAAAAATAATAATAAAATCTACGATTCATAAATGTATCCTCAGTTAACAACACGAATGACAAAGAGCTTTCAAGAAATAAGGTTGAAACGGTAACTTAAGATATCCAGCAGTATCAGTTTGTGACTAGAACTAGACTGTACATAGGTATACTTAGAGTCCATACTATAAACAAGATACTGTAATACTCACCATCAATGTTATACTAATACCTTTACTTAAAAAGTGTTCACTAATTTTGCGTTAGGCATCTCGGATAGCTGATGCAGTGATGCATTCAAAGTGGGAGATGATGCCCATAAAGCTACGTCGTCAGCTGATGATAACAATGATGCGAGCGCAACGTCCTTTACGGCTCACTGCTGCTGGATTCGCGTATATGAACACTGACTGTTTTCTATCTGTAGGTAACTTCTACTATCTACGACAGCTTTGTCTTATTTGGATAAATGTTCTTTTATATTTACATAATAAAGATTTTGTCACTTTTTATTGTTTATTGCCGTTTGTGGTTATGTTTGCACGTATATTCTGATATGACTTCTTGATTTTCTCATCTTCACTTTAATTACTGATAATTCACTTCTGTATTTGATTCTATTTTCTTTTTAATATTAAATTACAAAAACAATATATTATATAAAGTAAATAATAATCAATTTTCAGTTTAAATAAAGCCACTATTGCATTCTGAATTTTCGTTTCAGATCATGAAAGCAGCTTATTCGTACTACGCAGTTCTCAGCCAAAAACAGAGTGCTTGAAAATTAAATAGAAAAGTAATGTGTCCCTAAAATTATTACTAACTCGAGTGCACATCACAACGCACTATTTGTTATAAAGCGTAAAGGCAACGCAACTTTAACTTTATTCTGCTTGTTAGATTAGTCTAGTATAGCGTGATATCGGAGGATTTTAGTAGATATGCCGCTGCAATTTGACTACCCCTCTTCTAGAGTGTAGGGCAGCCCTTCCAAAGTGGGCAATAATGCCCCCTTATAAACGCTGCAGGCCTAAAGATGCCCAGAAGAAATATGAGAGTGTTGTGTAGTTCGAGGACTCGTCGACACTGACTGAGCTTTTTACTATGAATTACAAGTTGTGAACATCAACTAATAATATTTATTAAGAGATTGCTCATAATTACTCGGTTCTATATTTCTCTCCGTGTAATTTATATATGCATATCTGTCCTATTTGAATAAATAAAATAAATTATTGCATAAAAGTGTCGTTCCGCTTAAAAGTCTTGTTTAGAATGAATATTTAATTTCCGCTAATAAAGCTCCCAATAATTACTGTAATTCGAAGTTATTGTGGTTTTAAGTACGTGAAAAAATGGGGACACTTAATTTTTTTTTAATTTCTCAAAGTGGGCTGTAGACGACATAAGTTTGGGAACACCTGGTCTAGAGTCTAGAGTTGGAGAGAGCGTCACATCACCTCTGAGGTACGCTGGGGAAGCCGAATATGCAAAAATCAATTTCCCTTCATCAAAAAGAAAAAGTTAAGGGTAGTATGGTTACAGATTATATTATACGTATATTCAAATGTAACACAAATTGAATGACAGACATATTATTGTATATAACTTTATTGGATAATTTGGCACCCAACGTTTACTTTATTACCATTAAATATGATTAAGTGATCGATGCTCGTTACTACAAACTAATCTATCACAGTTGTTTTGCTTGTATAAAATTACACAAAGTTTGATCAATAAATACTACCTACTGTTACCCTATAACTAATTTTGTTTCTGTTGATAATTACTCTTACACATCTAACACTAGCAAATATAATCAATTATTTCCCACTTCTGATTGTTCTATACTATGCAATATTCGTTCCACGTGTACTATTCATTAGGTAAAACAACTTTTAAACGAGTTTTCTAGTCACCACCACGATGTTTTCAAAAAATTTACTGTCTCTAAATGTATTAAAAATATTCGTTCAAAGGTTGTTTTACTGTGTACTGTTTAAAAAATATTTTCGTATTAAACCGGTAATTATCTCATTCATAAAGTTGCATATCCACCAAACATGTGAAGTCGCCAAGTCGCCAACCATTTGGCGACTTGGCGACTTGGTTTCCCTAGGGAAACGCACACCAGTCATATATTGTAGTCTGTGAATAGCAGATAATATTTTTCTACAGACGTTGCAAATATATGAATCTGATAAAAGATGGCTTTAGGATAAGAAATTTTCGGATGTTCTCCCCACTTAACCTCGTTACTTCGAACATTTCTAATGAAAATACATCCTAAAGAACATTATAAGTGCCAAATCTGAACGAACGCCAACTGTCGACGATAAATATTTTTAATGGTCACCAATTAATTTAATGACATTATAATTTGAGGATCCAAAACTAACTAAAGTCAAAGGCGTTTTTTGCTAACGACTGTGAAAACCACTGAAACGTTTTGATATTCTGGTAAAACATACTTATGAATCGATTCGCTAAATATTAATCTAATTTCAATTATGCATGTTGTCAACTTTAATTAAGTTTCTCAATAGTGATTTTAAATTAAATTGATTACTATAATTGCATCAGAGTTCTAACAGCGGCTGCTTTGGTGTCATTGGTCGAGATCTATCTTCTTCAGCAATATTATTTGTCTTCACATCTAAAACCGTCATCTCCTCAGATCTGAAATCAAACGTTGTTCATATGTTTTACCTAAACAGATAACATATAAAATAGAACTAATTAATGATAATTATATTAATTTTAGCAATTCTGTTTTCACAAATCAAGTATGATTTGAATTCTTTATTGATTTGCAACTTGTTTTTTCCTTTATATGCAGGTAATAATGTGAATATATTAAAATTATTCGAATACACTCACAAAATTATGATCAAATAACAATTAACTTCTAATTATTATAAATATTTTCGTAGCGTACATTAGTATAATTGATATTTTTTGACTGTATGAGACTTTCATTGTTTTTGTTATCTATATCGGAGAACACAGAAATAGGGATTCTGAACATACATATAATTAGGTATATATAATTAGGTACCATATTCCTTCTTTGGTTTATTTTGACGGACATTTATAGCTAATGAAAATGTATGTACAAAAAAAAACAAAAGAAGTAAACATTTAGAGCAAGTTCAATAAACGCTCTGTACTTTGTACCTAAAAAATATCAAATACAATGTAGTCATGAAAACTGAAGTGACTAATGAGAAACAGATTTGTTTCACAACAAAATCTTATTTTAATATTTACCTGACATCTTCGCCTGAATGGGCGGCGTTATAAAAAACACTTGGCAGCGGCGAGTCGTACTGGCTTAGTAGTGAGCTGCCAGCCCGAGGAGACTGCCGACTGTGGTTAATGTATGGTGAGAATGGCACCATTGCTCGTAATGCTGCCAGTATAAGAAGCATACCACCTATATCCAAACAAAAAGTTTTTAAGGGAAATGAATTGATTAGTAGTAACCCTAGCTGTATTCCCATAACTTCGCCCGCGTAAATTATACCTAATGTCACGCGCGTATGATGTAACTTCTCATGGGCTATAGAATTATCATGATCGCATCAGTATTTCCGAAGATTACCCCATACAAATTAAGAAACTTTATATTTATTACTAGGTGTAGTCCTGCGACTTCGCACGCGTAAATATTAACCCATGTCAACACCGTTTGGTGAAAGAACTTTTAAAATCGGACCAGTAGTTTCGGAGACTAGTCGATGCAGACAAACATGCGTTTGCATTGTTACAAACAAACAATCCAATCTTTTATCTTTATAACATTAGTATAGAAAACATTTAAACGAAATTGTATTCACAAAATTATCAGAGAATCTCAAATGCGCCTGTTCAGTGATGAGTTTAGAATTATATTACTACCTGAAATGGTCGCTAGAAGAGTAAGATGAGAAAATAGAAGTGCCGTCGCGACGCATGCGTAGAACGGCGCCCGCACGCGCGCACACGACCACCTCGAACAATCAAATCTTTTTTTATATATCGTTAAAGAAAAAAAAACGTGCGAATGGAACTCACGTTCAAGGGTACGTACCAGCAATTTAAAAAAAGCCAAAACACCTGTTTGTTGTAAATAATTAATTATTTTATTCTGTTTTTAGTATTTGTGGTTATAGTGGCAATGGCAATAATTATTAGTGAAAATTTTAGCTGTCTAGCTATCACATCACTTAAAGCGTAATAACATAAGATATAGGTGACAGATAGACAGATGGACGGACAGCGGAGTCCCATTTTTACCCTTTTTGATTGGGATGATATACTTATAAAGTTACATGTTAAACTACCTACTAAAATAAAGCAATATCGAAGTGTTTTATTGGCAAAAAATACTGGATTTTACAACTGCACCAAACTACTGAAATACAATCGAAATATTACAATCATTGCAAAGTTCAGAAATTACAAAATAACTTTTGAATTAGAGCTAAATCACGCTCTAAAAAGTTTAAAATAAAAGAAAATATTTTATAGCGACAACTATGTTATAATAGTGATGACCAAAGGACAGCATAGTCGTATGCCACAACCGTTTTATTTTGTTATGATCCGTAGCAAAAGAATTGAAAGAATTGTACCTCATGAAGTCCCAACAGCGCAGAGATAGGGTATATTCCCCACGCCTGCCAAGGAGATCTACGAACAATGCGACAGCCCACATCGTCTCCAATAGAAATACCAGCCCTGCACCAACACTAGAGAAGCAATAAAAATGTTTCATTAATTAATATGCAGCACTAGCAATGGCCACAAAAGAGGTTAGAATGGTAATCGCCACAGCAGCGATTCCCAAAGTGGTATATAATGACCCCTGGGAGTCGAAGACGTTTCCTCAGATTTTTGGCGTCTTATTATATATTATGGTGTTAATGTTTTGATTGTGGATTTTACGACTTTTTACTTTATGTACCTATACGATCCGGATATTGTGTTACGTACATCAACTTGTAGTAAGAATGACACATATTTGAGAAAAAATATCAATCTATTTGTAAGGAATTAGAATTAATATTCAATTTCACTTGATTGATTCACTTTTCTAAATAATTTTTGTTTAGTGATAAAATTATGTTAAATTTAATCACTTGATCGATCGCTAAGTTTTTGTAATCATTTTCAATCGATAGGAAAAAATGAAAGATAAAAAACTATCATTTCATTTTGGAAAAATAGTTACTGCAAAATAGTTTGGGAATCCTTGGTCTACTGCTTATCCGAGAATCGATATTGCCGGTCCGTCACCACTAACAGTCACCATCACTGATGCACAACAATTGATATGAGTTTACACACGTATATTAATACGTAAGTTCAATTGTGTCCATAGCTTGTTTCGTAGCGTAACGGTCCCTAAGATCACTCAAAATATTAAATTTAAGATTGCAATTATATTGACAAAGATACTAAAGTTATACCCAATAAAATATCATTTGTTATACCATGTATTTTTCATTTCTTTATATTTATGTGATACAAAACATCTTTGTAAGCAGTAAGAAACTAAACTGTATAGTAAAGAGTTAATAAATGTTACCGCTATTAAATAACTTATAAAACTAAAAATATACACATTGACATTGAAAATATACTGCATATTGCTAGATGGTATAAGTACTCAAGGTATACAAACTATCAATCAACTAAACATGACGTGTCATAAATAGGTTCTTTATAATGTATATACCTACTCAGTATCAGTAAATTTCTTGTTATCTATCTTATAGCCGAAAAAGTAGCACGCTCTATACACCCAACTTCTTAACTAAATAAATAAATTAAATATTTCGTATCTGCAACCTTGCGATAATATCTATAAATACTTATACCGAAATGTCTGTCGTGCATGATACGTTTTACCAGAAGTCGTCAGTGAAATATTTACGTATATTAATGATGATTATCTGTGTAAAGGGTTGCCATCTTCGAAATTACAAAAAACCTTCTGAATCTATTTTATATGTATATTGCTTTAGGCCAGACATTTCTTTCTTAATCTATACTGATAATAAAGTTGAAGAGTTTGTTTGTTCGGTTGAACTCTATAATTTCAGGAACTATTGGAATGAATTGTTTTTTTTTTGTATTAAATAGTCCATTTATAGAGAAAGGCTATATAACATCACGCTATGACTTATAGGAATGGAGCAGCAATGAAAAATGTTGCAAAAACGGGAAAATATTTTACTTTTTAAAGCTTTCCTTGCAGGTGCTGCGTAAACAGTGATAGTGATAGCGCAAAAACCATGTGTTAATAAATTTATCCCTTTTAAAATTCCTAAAATAAAATGGCCGTGGTAGCATATGTCTATCTTATCCCGAAAAAAGGACATAAAGTTAAGAAAATGAGGAGTAGAAATTAGTATAGAGCATTTAATAATTATCATAGAAACCATTTTTTGTCAATTCAATTTGTTATTGTACCTCTTATATTCCACGTCATCCTTTTTATATTATTAGTGTGCTATAATGCGCGCGAAAATATAAAAAATAAATCTATTATTAAAAGTTTTTAAGCTTTTTATGCAAGATTAAATAATGTTTTAAATTATTCAAATGGATACAAGAGTTGTCGGTAATATTAAATGCTTATGTTATGTTTGACAAGTACACGAAAATGTTACATTTTGCTAACTCTACTGATCACTAGATGACATACTGTACTTTTATAACTTATTATTTATAATTAATTGAGTGAAAAAATACTGAGTGGACAAAACTATATACGTTCGTTACCTACAAATTGAAGAGATGGCACAATATCCGTTGGCAAACATTTCACGCACTAAAATCACTAAAAATGCTGAATTAGAAAGCAAGAACAAGCTGACTATCAAGTTGTTATCTATGATAGATGGCAACCCTATCTGAGTAACAAATAGACAAAATAACGTACTCACAGCAAGGCCGGCGCCACTTCGTAGCCAAGCACGATAAGTTCGGCGCCCGCGCCGCTCATCACTGTAACCAAAGAGATTTAAAACACTATTTTTTAACTGTAACAAACGAATTTATAATTATTGTATGCTTTAAATAATGATAATTATTCTATTTATGCATAAAACACAACTAAAATGTCAAAGATTTGTAAGAAAAATTCCAAAACAAAATAAAAATGTAGCAAGTAGAAAAACTGTTAAAATTTCTCCAAACAGCAATGCAATGCCGCATTTTATCACTTATTATTTGAGTCAATAAGTGACAAAATGCGGCATTGCATTGCTGTTTGAAGATGCCCAATGCATCAATACAATCAACGCTTTGGTTAAAAGCACGATATATAGGGTAGAAGACTCAGTTTTGCCACTAACCCCATTTCGGCCATTTGGTACTTTAAGGCGTTCTAACTAACGCATGATCAAATATATTACTTTACCGTAACCAGTTTTTTAAAATATCAAAGTTCATTTCCATAAAACTCTTTAAATGGCCAAAACCAAGTCACTTGCCCTACATATTAATATTTACAAATAGCAGTAGAGTCCATTGCGTAAATGTTTGTTTTCATGGTATGTTTTGTTTCGCCGAAATGGCGAGTTGCCACATAAGTCAAATTTTAATGACTCAAAATAATACCTACAGTAAATATGATCAGGTTGAAGACGATATCTCTTCATACATTTTCAACGTTTAGTTATACGATTTATCAATTCATTTACGTCATTTATTTCGCAGCTGTGGAAGAAGTTAAGCCTAAAGCCACACCAAATTATCTCAAAAACTATTTTCAGAAATAACGTATTGAAAGAAGAAAAACCTATGTCACGTGTTACTGCATAGCTTCCTGATAATATTTTCCATAGCTGATAATTTGATTTATGCCTTTTAGATACACTAGGGTGCATTATTTTAAACAGATCATATATTAAAGATAAGATTACCCAAAATAAGTCAATCTGAAAAATCGCAAGTACATATACATATATCCTCTGTGATAGTGTTGTTAACTAAATCAGCTTCATTTGTTTTTGGTGTAAAAAAAATCAATAAATCGCTTTAACTTATTGTGTATGTGCAGAGCGTAAGGCGCTGAAGTTTGTATTTCGTTTACTTATCGCTAAAATTCGCTACCTCGAATATGGAACAGGAACGCAATGGGAATACTGATTTTACACTTACACAACCAACTTTAACTTTAACTTTATTCCAATATCAACTAAATCGAAACGAATTTAGTAACAGGGTAACGTAAAAAAATTAGCGACAAGTCGTCATCGATCACCAGCGCTGTCACAGAATAGAGGTTCAATGAAATAAAGCCTATTTAAAAGTGTAATAACTAATAACATAAGTCAAATTTTAATGACTCAAAATAATACCTACAATAAATATAGCTGGTCTTTTTTGTGGGCACAGTTCATTTGTTTTAATAGTTCTACTATCAAATCGAAGTAAGTTGCATTTATTTTACTTGTGACAAAGGATGAAAAATGGATCCCTTGGAATAATATAATTGTAAATCATGAATAACGCGATGTAGATAACTATTTATCACTCATGTGTAATACAAAACGATTTTTTTTTAAATAAATCGGTTAAAAAGGGTTCAAACATGACCTCGAGAGATGGTTAAGGCAACAAGCCATTGGCTACGGAGGTCTTTGTCAGAAGATAAATACCTATACAATAAACATAAAAATCCATTAACTTTTGTTCATTACGCCAATGCCTATTATTATGCTATTTACATTTTTGATCGTAAATTTTATAGACTTAGAGCTTGTTGTTACATAATAAATACCACATCATTGGGAATTATTGAGTATGTTGCTGCGTTTGACTAGCCCCCTTTTAGGAGCTGGTGTAGGAAAGAATCCCACATAACCTCGTATACCCAAGCAGGAGAAGCGAGGAATGCAGTAATTTACTTCTAATCGTAAAAATGTTTTAAGATCTATAGAGGTTTATTTATTATCTCATAGAAAAATACTAAAAGAAATGTGGCCGCTAATGCGAGCCAGTCTTGCCATAAACAAGCAAGAAATAACAAAAAAAAATTGTTTTGAAAATTAATAATAGAGGTTATAGTATGAAATTGCCGATTTATATGAAAATCAAAATGGTTTATTTTTAAATTTTTAATAAATTAATTTAATCAAAATAGTAACCCTTATTATCTATACATTGCTGCCATCTAATAGGAAGGTCATTTATGCCTTTGCGATAGAACTCCGAGGATTTAGACTGCACAAACTGTATGAAAGCATTTTGTACTGCCTCCTGGGAAGAAAAGTTCTTGTCACGTAGATAATTGTCCAAATCACGAAAAAAATAGTAGTCCGTTGGAGCAAGGTCTGGCGAATACGGAGGATGACGAATGGTTTCTAACGGTTTCTCTTGCTGTATGAGGTCTCACGTTGTCATGGAGCAATAATGGTGAAGATCGATTCATGAGTCGGGGCTGTTTTACTGCTAGTCTTGCCAACATTGTTCGGAGTTCGGAACAATAGATCTGCCGTTATTGCTATAAGTGAATAACATAAAACATAACATAAAACTATAGTGAATAACACCATGCTGAGACAACCAAACAGTTACCATTACCCTTTTATTGGTAAGTTTTGTTTTAGGACACTTTTGTGTGCGTTTGACCTGGGATTAGCCCTTGCATTTTTCTTTTACAGTTATCATAAAGAATCACTTTTCATCACTTGTGACAAACCATGAAGATTCTATGTCAATTTAATGAACCTATTACAATAAAACGGCAATTTCATACTTTAACACCTAATATATGCGGTT